CCGGGCCGCCGCGGTGGGAAGCCAGCGACTAACCGCTTGAGCTATGGCGCGGTCTGTTTATCTACTTAATCGACGTGCTTTTGTGTGTCGTTTGGGTTTCGCTCGTTGCACTCAACACCTAACGCGAAATGATTCACCATTCTATAACACGTAGCGCAGCTTCTCTTGAAATTCAGCAGGAACCCCGAGAAGCGCGAACTTCGCCAGTTTTATGCATTTTCTTTTCTTTTCTTTCTTTCACGTGTAAGACGATTTTCTTGTGACCAAATTTTTACACACCTTATTAATATTAGAACTCACATGTTCAGATATATATTATGTAATAATAAAACAACAAACCCCGTGATTTTATTCCGCAAGCGAACTATACCGACCGAGCGACCGCCGCTTGTCGGCAAGTTAGTGCCAACTTTTGCGGATAGAGGGTGTCGCGCGGTCAGCGCAACGCATCCCCAAGGCAGTTAATTTCGGTTTTCTAGACCGGAGCCGCTGTTTCCTTGAAATAGCTCCTCATTTATCCTCATGAGCAGGACCCGGATTTTGATGACCTGAAAATATTTAAAAAATGACCGAAAAAATCCAGAAAAATAACCTAAAGGAGAAAAGAAAGAACACTTCGCTTCCATGTTATTCACATTTCAGAAAACGTATGAGGAAAAATTCCATAAAATGGCCAAAAATGACAAGAAAACCCCTTAAAAGTAAAAAAAATTTACCAAAAAGTTACCTATAAAATTTACATTTCTCTAACCAGCAGCTCATATCCGAGATTTATACCATATATTTAAGAACATCGCATAGGATACCAGGAAAAAAAAAAAAAGATAACATGTCATCAAAATGCGGGACCTGCTCATGAGGCTGAGTGGACCCCGTTCCAGACCCACTGCTTCTCAGAAAAAATCTGCTAGCGCCTGGAATCGAACCCGGACCTCTGGAACTGTAGCCAGGAACGGTAACCACTAGACCACAGAGGCGGTTTCTGCAATAGTAACTATGTTAAGTATATATTTGGGTCGCTCACGGTAGCCGAGCGGTCTAAGGCATGCACTGTCTTCGCTCGCTTGGAAACCGGGATCGTGGGTTCGAATCCCACTCAGGGCATGGTTGTTTAGTTTGTGTGTGTGCTTTTTTTGTGTTTGTGTACAGGTAGAGGGCTTGCGACGACCTAATCACCCGCCCAAGGAGTCCTACCGAAGTGAACGGAGAAGTTCATGGAGGTAGGCCTAGGCCCACTGGGGCTGTAGTGCCAAGGAAAAAAAATATATATATATTTTTGTCTGTATATCTACGGTCTGCACGACTGGCGTTCGATTCCCGGTAGGAGCGAGAGATGTTTTTGTACTCCACATCGTCCAGACCGACGCTGGGGCCCACCCAGCCTCCTATTCAATAGGTGCAGGAGGCCCTTGCACGGGATAAAGCGGCCCGGGCGTGAAGCTAACCACTCATCTCCACCTAGTTCCGAGATCTAGCATGTTTGATCTATACCTTCACAACCCCATACGACTTTATGGCGTGGTGCTTAATTAAGCACAGGTACAACCTTAATAAGGGCGTAGGTCCATTTCTCGTTTTATAACACGTTTTATTACCGCTCTATACTCCCAACTCCCCGCTCCACCATTTATACTGTTTACTGTCTGGGCTGGTACATGAGTCATAATGGTTTCGTCACGTGAGAAGCACAGTTTTTTCTCATTCATCCTCACACACAAGCCCGCCGATGTCATAATTCTTACTGAGACTATAAATTAGTGCTAGATAAAACGCTGTTTTGTTAGATATGTATGTAAAGTAATTCCATTTGAGACCGGATATTCACTCACTTGTTTCTGCAAAATGAGTGACACGTTTTAAGCACATATTTGCCGTCTTTAGGCTCTTGAATAGATGCTTAAGGGGCGAATGTACGTCTATTATGGCGTTTAAAGTTCTCCTTAAGCATTAACATGATAAGAAGTTGGTAAAATTGGCAAAAATGACATAAAAGAGTCTTCTAATATTGAGCACTGGATATAATAGTTTCTCACGGACATAGCGTGTGAGAAAATACTGAGATAGGAAACGTCCACTTCAAGATCTTGAAGGATTTACAAGTCTACAGCATCCCCTGGCTCCGCTAGAATAGACTACCAAACTTGACTTGGTTCATCCTGCTCCGTCACAGCAGTAATTGTATAAGAGATTGATAAATGTGTTTTTTTAATCTTTCGTCCTTGACATGTTTCGGTCGGAGCGACCATCTTCAGAAGGACATTATCAATACATACGGAAACTACTATTACAGTATCATAAAACAGACTCCATGGTTTTTAGTCTGTAGGCGAATTATACCGACCGAGCGACCGCAGCTTGTTGGCGAAGTTAGTTTCAACTTTAGCGGACAGAGGGTGTCGCGTTGTCAGCGGAACGGATCCCCACGGCCGTTAATCTCGGTTTTTTTTAGACCGGAACCGCTATTTCCTAGAAATAGCCCCTCATTTATCTTCGCGAGGCTGAGTGAACCCCGTTCCAGACCTACTACTTCTCATTAAATCTGGCAGCGCCGGGAATCGAACCCGGTCCTCTGGATCTGTAGCCAGGAACTCTGACCACTAGACAACAGAGGCGGTCATTACAATGTCAGAGATATAAAATATTATATCCTTTAACAATTACTGCTATGTGCATGAATTTGTTAAAAAAATTGTGCATTATAAAGTATAAAGGTCACGAACCAAATTGGTTATAGATTTTAACAAAAAGTTTTTTTAAACAATACTTTGTAAATACTCGTAGACTTTTGCAGTTTCTTAATCTTTTTACATAGTCGGTAGGACTCCTTGGATGGGGGATCAGCCTTCCGCATGGCCTCTACATGTACACAGAACAATACAAACATAATAAACGCATACAGACACCCATGCCTCAAGTGGGATCCGAACCCACGATCCCAGTGTTTGAGCGAGCGAAGACAGTTCTTGTCTTAGACCGCGCGGCTACTGTGAATGGCTGACCTTACAATTAGTTCTATGAATTGTATGGACCATACAGCTGGCTGGAAATTTAATTAGATAAATGTCAATTAGGACAACAGTTCAGCAGTAAATTGCCTTGATGTTTGTGAAGTCGAATTTGGTGTGCGCATGCGCAGTTGGACGAAATCATTGATTCTTCTCGGCACGTTGCATTTCAGCAATGCGACGTGAGTGGTGTTGGTGTATATTAACCTAACCTCTTGCACATGGAGCTGGCCTGAAATGTGGGAGTTAACCTTGCTTGTATTTGGCTTACCTTGATCCAACCTACGTACATAGCTTCTCGTTCCGTACTATTATGACCGCATATGTATTTTAGTCCACCGTTTTATGACGCCGTCGGTACCGGACTAAATAACATAGAATGGAGGATGTTTGATGTGTCATAAATTTGAAAAGATTTTGAAGGAAACGATCAAGTAATTGAGATACTGTCACAGAATTTTTGTGGAGGAACTGAGGAAATCTGCGAAAACCTCAGTCAGGGTATGTAAGATTTGAGGTTTTCACGGCGGTGACTATGAAGAAAGACGTCTTCTTGGATGTGGCACCGTGTAGATATTGTATTAACTGACGTTTCGGAGGAACGCATGGCCTCCATATTCAGGGCAGAAGAAAAAAGAAGAAAAGTCCGCGAGCAGGGAACCAGCGTGGGCAGTTGCTGATAGACTAATGTCAAGTCGAATAAACCCAGCTATATAAGAGCAGGAAGATGGAAGCGATACGTTCTTCCCAAACGTCGGTTAATACAGTATCTGCACGGCCCCACACCCCTTAAGACGGCTTTCTTCTCAATCGGGGTACTTGGTGACCCAGCCGATATTCGAACCAATCACCTCCCGAATTGAAGTCTGGAGAGTTGCCCTACTGGGCATGCGTAGTGTGAATGCCATATCAGTCCGTTATTTTATGTGACTACAGACGTCAGTTCTTTTGGCTCGCAAGTCCTTACGGTTATCTGAAAGAGTGATTCCCAAGTTGGGAAGCGTGGGGCATTTCGAGTTAGGGGGAGGCTGAGGCCATGAGAAATAAAGTCGATTTTTAATGTCAAATTCAGCTGAAATGTTTTAGTTTTTAACTGCATTGAATTATCTGTTCCGTAAGCATCCGTTGAATAAATTGTATCAAATTTGATAAACAGAAAAAATTGCATTAAAGTTATGTGAAATAGTTTCAGTAATGCTAGATGCAAAACTGTAAAATAAAGGAATAAGTGAGCTTGACCCAGAGAACGGCGATAAGAATAATAAAAATAATAATGATAATTTGTAAACAAACTCCTTGGCTTTAGTCCGCAAGCGGACTATACCGATCGAGCGACCGCCGCGTATCGTTGAATTTGGTGCCAACTTTTGCGGATAGATGGTGCCTCTTATTCAGTGTAACGAATCCCCACAACCGTTAATTTCGGCTTTTCTAGACCGGAGCCGCTATTTCCTTGACATAGCTCCTGAGTTATCCTCACGAGGCTGAGTGCACCCCGTTCCAGACCCACTACTTCTCAGAAAATCTGGTAGCGCCGGGAATCGAACCCGGACCCCTGGATCTGTAGCCAGGAACTCTGACCACTAGACCACAGAGGCGGTCAGTTGAAATCTAACTTAATCGAATTTGTCATAATATGCAGAATCGTAATAAGAATTGACAAGGCTTTTACATAAGGTCAAGAGAAACCTCCGTTTAGAAGAGTCGGGTCTAGAATTAATTTCTGACATCGTCGTTAAACAAACAACAAATAAATTAATTCGTCTGATAGTTTCGAAAATTAATCGTATTTTGTGATTGACGTTGATAATTTCGATATTTACCGAATACCTACTGATCAGAGAAAAATTATTCTGTTATGGCCATATTGTGGACGTGTATGGAAATGGACTTAACCCACTTATGCGTGTACGGACGTATGTGTCTACATTCTTCTGCTGCGGTTGCACGCAAACGGATCTCTCGTAAGCAATCATTACGTAGTGACATGTCTGCGTGGATGGTCGCTAGGGCCAGATCGCGCTGCTGTATTTTGCGGATGTTCGTGATGTTGCTTAGTGACTCGTGTTTTTTCGTGGTGAATGTAGTGTAACAGTGACCGTGAATTTGTGAAGACTGTTTCGTGATATTTCGTGATTCTAGTGTAACATTGACCGTGAATTTGAGAAGACTGTACTGATGTGATCTAGTGTGTTTGTCCGCCATATACGAGTATATCATGTATGTTACGAAATACAGTAAACCCTCAGTAATCCGGAATAATTGTGTGGGGTGGTCACCTGGATTAATGAACGCAAGTTAGCCCTAAAAGAGAAGAAAGCCTTAGAAAACAAATAAATAGAAAGTTTAATAATACCGGTAGTGCTGATGAAAATAAATAAAATATTACTGCAGTAATTTATTCCTCTGTCAGAAGCTGGGGGACCGCCTCTGTGGCCCAGAGTTCCTGGTTACAGATCCAGAGGTCCGGGTTCGATTCCCGGCGCTACCAGATTTTCTGAGAAGTAGTGGGTCTTGAACGGGGTCCACTCAGCCTCGTGAGTATAATTGAGGAGCTACTTGAATGGAAAAGTAGCGGCTCTGGTCTAGAAAACCGAGATTAACGTACGTGGGGATTCGTTGCGCTGACCACGCGACACTCTGTATCCGCTAATGTTGGCACTGACTTCGCTGACATGCGGTGGTCGCTCGGTCGGTATAGCTTGCGGACTAAAACCACGGAGTTTGTTTTTTTGTCCGAAACTGAAACCCAGGGTCTCCTTCATCCAACTCAAGCCAATCTTGGATATTTTCTTGCGTGGTTTCAGTCTCTCCAGCTGCCCTCAACACAGTCTGAATGTCCCCTTGCTCCTAAATCCCACGTGTCTTTTAAAGTATGTACTCAACTGTGAACAGAATTTTTAATTTTTCTTGTTTCGATCCGGATTAAATGTAACCGGATTAACGAGGGTTTACTGTAATCAGTTCTTCTCGAAGTACCGTCTTATTTGTCCTACAAGGTTTCATATAGTCCAGTGGTTCTCAACCTCTGTGAGACCACGGTCCGATGAATTACGTGTTTTTATAAGACGAGGGGCCGGTACTGGGCCGCGGCCCGGCGGTTGAGAACCACTGGATAGATGATGTACGAATTAACAGATGTCCTCCTTCCGTACGGTAATCCAGAAACATATGTTAGGGGAAATGGGATTGCCCGATCGGTATAGAGACTAAAAAGAGTTCTGTATTAGAGACACAGCGCTGTATAACCCGCTGGAAAGTCAACCAAACGTTTCGGAGGAACATATCTTCTTCATCTTCAGGGTTGAAGAGTAAAGGCATGAAATAAACCAACATTAAGCACACAGCAGTGAAAGCTCTTTGCTGTTCAACCGTGAAGGTTAAGGAGACATGTTCCCTCGAAACGTCAGGTTGTTTTAGCGGACTACACGCCGTTATAACGCACGTAACCACCACTGTGAGAACGTCAAATCCCATATAGAGACTAGGCGACCAGAGAATTTGGTTCGATTCTCGGCTAGGGTAAAGATTTTTCACTTCGCCTCCTTGTCCAGGCCGGTTACCGGTGGGTAAAGTGTCCGGGAAGTGAAATTAACCATTTACCTCCATCTAGTGCCTAGGTGAAGAATGCGTGGAGCTATACCTCCACTCCTCTATAACTTTACTTTTAGCATACTTTGAGGTCTGAGGTCCTCGCCATAGTGAATGTTAAGAGTACTGTCTTCTGGGATGTGACACCGTGTGGTTTGGTAGACAAGTATCAGCGCAGACTTGTGATAGCGACAGGAAGACTGGAACAAAAGCTTTGAGCGAATTTATAAGACAGTTTCGTAATGAAAAATATAAAGGGTGGTGGGGGACACTTGAGAAACGTAGAAAGACGTAATGAGGGTAAGCGAGGAAAAGCGAAATAAGACGAAACAAAACATAACACACAATGAAACATGCATATACTGAATTGAACCATACTTAACCTCAAAGTAGCGGAATGTTTATTTGACTTCAATTAAGAGTATAATTACATACATTTCCGGGGTACTCTCGTAGCATAGTTGGTTGAGGCACTATGCTACAACCCGGAGGGTCACGGGTTCGATTCCCATTGAGATCATTGGATTTATATTAATTGAAATAATCCAGGAGCACTATAGGAAAGCTCAAGGAAACATGTCGAATATGAATACCAAAATTTAAAATTGTTTTTAAAATGCCCCTAATACTTTAGAGCATCCAGTAAAAAGTAGTTTTTAAGTGTAAATGCATAAGCAAATTTTCTAAACCCCTCCCCGCGGAAAAAAATTTGGGGGCACCCATCGTCCCTATTCCGTTCTGTGATAAGTTTCTTTCCTTTAAGGGGTCGTGCGAGTTTCTATATTTTAAATTATACTTGTGCATATCCTTACCGGGACTCGAACTCCGACACCTCGGTCGTCCAGTCCGTAGCCAGTCGCTATACCGACTGAGCTATCCCGGCTTTCAGTGAGTGTCTAGATCCGCATTTGGGGGGCATCAGGTTCTAATCTCGTCCGGGTTACGGGCTATGCCGACGTTGTATTTTCGTTATTTCCGGTCAAGACAAACATTGGTGTAGACCCGTTTCCTACAAAATTTTGACAAATCGGTATTCATATAGCGCTTATAACATTCGACACTATGTAAACCTGTTCATATTATAAGACGTAATATTATTTTTATTATTTGTTTATGGTCATTTAACGACGCTGTCGATATTTCATGTTGTGTAGTGTTGTATAGTAGGATAATTAAGAGCTATGAGTTGGAGTGAACGCGACTAAAAGCGGCCGTAGCTTGATTTGAGTCATGAAGGCGGATGGTGCTGAAGAGTGAAGGGAGGAGGCATTAAAGACAGCCTACTCCGCTGGTAGGTAAAGTTGGGGGAAGCTATTGTCTGCCTTCAGTACTCAGACATTAATGTCCCGGTATTTGTCTAGAATGACTAAATAAAACCAAGAAAACCCCGCGATTAACACAGCAGGTCTTTGCGCCGAGGTTTGAGTTCAGGACCCCTCGAATACGAAGCAGTGGTCCTCACCACTCTACCGTGGCAGTCGATGTCAAGGCGTAATCAAATAGTCAAAGAATCGATCGTTTTGTCGTAACAGTAGATTCTTACGCGAAATGAGCATTGAGACATGTGACGGATCCAGAGTTGCGATGTATTCCACTTTTGCATTCATTGTAATTTACCAGTGTAAATAGCCGACAAGACGCGTTGAAAACATCGTCAGCCCAGGTTTTAAAGGACAAGCAAGGGAGCTCGTCAGGCTTACTCATTAGAACAAAGGCATTTGTAACGCTCCGTGTGTTAAGGGAAGGAACCTCTTCATATCATGGCGCCCTCTAGTTACTAGGAGAGAGTTTCCACACCAGGGAACACGGCGCAAGGAAGAAGGATTGTGTTATAGAAGTACAGAAGTAGTGTTTGCGTGTTTCCAACAAGCATGAACTATGTCGAACTCTATATTCCTACAAATGCCAATAGTCGGAAATTTCGTTCTTGCAAAAATTGCTGTTTCTGAAAGCATATGCCATCTGTTGGTATTATATCTGACTACATAGTCAATAACTGAGAATTTGTATCTACGTCTAAAATTCTAAGGGAGTTTTAATATATGCAGTAGCGTAGTTGTTTGAGGCACTATGCTGCAGTCCGGAAGGTCGTGGGTTCTGTTCCCGATGAGGCCGTTGAACATTTCAATTGGCCTAATCCTCCGAGCCGTACTACGGCCCTGGGGTCGACTCGGCTTCTAACAGAAATGAGTACCAGGAATCTTCCCAGATGATAGATGATGGTGATTATGGAGCAATTGGTGGAATGAAGATTGGCAGGGGAAACCGAAGTACTGGGAGAGAACCTGCCCCAGCGCCAGTTTGGCCACCACAAATAATAATTCAATTAAGTTCTTTATTATTTATGTTCTGAGTCAACAGCCGCAAGGCCAGTTACAGACACAGCACAGTGTAGATAAAAGTAGTTACATACTGGACAAACACAACATAAAGTCAGGCTAATTGAAGGTAAACACTGGAGGAAAGATACATTAATGCATATACAGAAACAAACAAACAAAATATAATAATGATAATAATAATTGTTTCGTTATCACAAAACTGAGTTGCTATTGATAGTTGAGAACTATAAAGTATATAAAGAATAATAATAATAAAAAATCCCACATGGTCTGACATGGGCTCGAACCAGGGCCGCCGCGTTGGAAATCCAGCGACTAACTGCCTGAGCTATGGCACAGCCACCCGTCACTGTATTGAAATTCGAACTAAGGAGTCGAGTGTTCGAGCAAATGAAAATAGAATGCATCGTTGACCCTGCGGCCGCTGTGATCCACTTGTTTTATAGACTGACTGAAACATCTCTGGGGCTACGTCATACCTTAAGTAGCCAACCTCACGGAAGGAAAGTCCCTAAGTGTTGAACAAGGTCTCCGATATGGCGATTTTAGCCGCCATTATGTATTGAAAACAGAATGGAGTATGTAAGAGCTGAGGTTCTCATGGCGGTGACTATGAAGAATGCTGTCTTCTGAAATGTGACGCCGTGTAGATCTTATGTAAACCGAGGTTTCGGAGGAACATATCGCCTGCATCTTCAGGGTAGGAAAATCCGTGAGCAGGTGGCTAGCAGACTGAGCCAGCAGTCGAAAAAACACTATTTTGGGAACTTGATATGTTTCCGTCCTCACGTTAGGGGGAGACACCTACACTTTTGAGTCCCTTGGAAAAACTAACCTCAATCAGCAAGTTTAGCCCTTTCTAAGGGACCCAACAAAGTAAGTTTCTCCCCCTCACCTGAGGACGGAAACAGATCAAGTTTCCAAAACAGTGTGTTTTCGACTGCTGGCTCAGTCTGCTAGCCACCTGCTCACACTGGTTCCTCGCTCGTGGATTTGACTACCCTGAAGATGGAGGCGATACGTTCCTCCGAAACGTCGGTTCACACAAGATCTACACGGCACCACATCCCAGAAGACAGCATTCTTCAGAATATAGTAACTTATTGACGTAACCGTCTACGTCACTGTGTGATAATGACGCAGCCTCATGTTTCAAGCGCAGTATAGTTGCATAATTATGTGGATCTATACCTCCACTCCCCCATACGTCTTCATGGCGTAGTGCTTAATTAGTTAAGTAGAGGGACTACTTTATAGTTGCATAATTTTCTGTGCGTTTTGCACGTA